GAGGGGTGGAGGTAAGGAGGGGGGGTGGAGGGCAAATCAATTGTTGGGAAATAAAATTGGAGCAGAGAAAAAAAAAAAAACAAACCTGTGCAGAAATGCATTTGAATGTCAGGGGGGAGGAAATGGGGGAGGAGGGGAGTTCATGTAAGTCGGAGATGTTTAATGGGCTGATGCTTAATGTCTGAGTCAAACAGCTACTGAAATAACGAGCAGAGATAATGTTCTGAGGAGAACGTCTCTCAGCTGGGACTGGAACTTTACTGCGAGGGTTTCACGTTCGCTGTGATCGTGGAAATGTTCGGAACTGGGGTTTTTTTTTTTTTTGTTAAAACTCATCCAAGTTCAAGATCCCAGTGTGCTGGTTCAATTCTGTCGTTTTAGGAACCCTGGTTCATCCAAACAGGGTCATTCCTCGTTGGGGAGCCATTATTTAAGTGATGTTCGGAGAGAATTTTGCTAATATCGGCCGACCGATATTAGCAAAATTATGTAAAATCTGTAAGAATTATTCGGTTTTTCCTTCCGATAATTAAAACCCGATAACGCAATGTCTGGGTTTCGCCAAATGATGTGCGAACTAAAAATAGTTTTGGGGAAAAACAGCTGTATGTGTAAGTGAAAGCCACTAGATGGCAGCATTGCAGCCCACTATATCAGTATCAGTTGATATCGGAATCAGAAATTTTTTTTGGATGATATCGGCGTTTCGGATATTGGCAAAAAGTCAATATCGGACATGTCCCTAATTAAGACTAATCTTATAAATTTGACGACTTTTGGTTCATCTTGTTTTTATTATATATATATATTTTTCCCCTAATTTCCTGCCGTAGATATTTGAACGTACGAACTCAAAGATGTTGGATTATTATGGTCTGTTTGATGATCTAACCTGGTCCAGTAATACAGACAGGAGTGAAGTGACTTAAACACACACACACACACACACACACACACACAGCCCTCGGTCTGAGCTGCATTAACATCTCAGAGTCTGAAACCATTAATCACAAGTTTCTCCTCGCACAATTACACAGTGTGTACTTTGTAGACACTGAGTACTTTTCTGCTGCACTCCTAAATTAATCATTCTTTTAGGGATTTGAAAAAAAAAACTGACTCTGCTAAAAAAAAAACCCTCAGGTCTAAAAGTGTTTGGTCATAAATATTCAGAGACAGACACGGAATCGAACACATGATGGAACAACCAGCAACCAATGTTGAAGGACAAATAAAAAAATATAAAAATATTTGGGAATAAAAGTCTGTGTTTCTACATCCTCCTTACATTAAGTCTTAACTCTTTGTTTGTAAAATTACAATAATAATCTTTTTTTATTGCTATATTTTTATATTTTAATTTACCTTTTTAATCACATTAACTAAATTAGTCATTGAGCTCAAAGAAAGCTAAAAAAAAAGTTTTTAATTTTTAAAACCAAGGTAAATTTCAAAGTAAATGCATATGTCAGGCATCGGATCTTTTAAAAAAAATCTCTTTGTTTATTTTTTATTTCATTGTTGTTGTTTGATTTTGTCGGATTCTATTTTGAAGTTGGATGCTATGACGGCTACCGACCAGCAGATGGTGGTATCGCTTTTCTCTGAAACAGTACAACAGTATGTCATTATAAATGCAACAGAGTTCACTGGCAGTTTAAAACATTTTTTTTAAAATTCCTACCTCAGCCATGGAGTAAAAAAAGACCAGGAACTAACGAAGAAGAAACCGAAGACTAACGAAGAAGAAATCGAAGATTAACGAAGAAAAAACCGAAGACTAACGAAGAGAAAACCTCGGTCTTCCTCGGGCTGATGTTTCCTTTACGGCTCATTTCGACTCACAATCGTATAAAGTGTGTTTTTACGGATCTCCACTCAGTTGACAAAGAGTGACGTCAGCATTAAACGATAATGATCACCGCTAACAAGGGACTCTAGCTGCACTTCACTGTGTTCACCAGCAGGGGCGGGGAAAAGTGAAGATAAACATAAATAAATAAAACCGGCTGCACGTTGAGGGACAGACACAGACCGTGTTCAACTGTTGGCTCCCCCTAAAGGCGACGTCAATAATTTAGTTTGCAGAAGCAGCGAGCGTAAAAAGGCCGAGCGAGTATTTATGAAGACAGAAAAAAAAGTAAAAAAAAAAAAAAAAATTAAAGAACTGAGACTAAATTATATCATTATATCTGTATTTGTTATTAAATCATTAACTAATATTTATTATTATCATTAGTTATTAGTTAAGTCACAGTATGATACAACTGTAATTCAAACCAGTGTTTCTCAAACTAAGGCTCCCGGACCTTGTTCTGTACCCGAGTTTTGAAAAAAACAAAACAAAACAAAACTATAAACTCATACTGGTGGTACTTGGAGAACCGCTGCCCCTGGTGATTATAATGTGGAACTGTCTGATGACGTGTTCATCTGCAGGGACACTGCCCTCTGTTGGTACTTTTTTTATTTTTTCCATCCGCTCAAACACAGACTCCAAAGTCAGTCCTGAACCTGAGTATACGTAGAGACTTGACAGAGACTTTTCTGACTTTTTTTATTATTCTACGAACGTTTCTATTGGTCGTTGGAAACTCTGGTGTCACTTCAGAGAACGACACAGCCGTTGTGAATCGGAGATAAGAGTTAGCGTGAATTCTGAATGGATACGTGGCCTGGAAATAGGACAGAGGTTTTAAAATTCATGTATTCTGTACCTCTCCCTGACTCCCCCCCCCTTCTTCCACCCCTCTTTCTCCCTCCCCCGTTGTCACATACAATCAAGCGACTATCAGTGTGTGGAGCGTTAGCCCGATGCCGCGTGCTCCTACCTGGCCCCTGCTGGCTGGTGCTGGCGATGATCCACTTGACCAGGCAGCACTTCATCAGAGATTTTCGGGTGAGTCGGGGTCTCTGCCACTTGGGGTCCTCGGTCTGCCCGTCCTGGTTTGGATCTTTCCCGTTAGCGTCGGGAACGCGGACGCCGTCCACCATCTTGTCTCTGGCCTGAGTGAAGAAGGGAGCGTTAATAAAGTGTCGGAGTGTAAACAGGAGGCGTACGATGATTTGTCAATGTCAGGAGCAGAAGCA